GGAAAAAGAACGTGGAGGTGGGTCGAGTAACTCTACGAGAGGGTGTACCAGTCCTTGGGAAGGAATCGATTCGACCAAAACTCTCGGGATTTGCTTAACACGTTGACGACAGCATGACGCGCATGCGCGTCAGATTTTCACCCGGATGGGCTCGTTTTGATCGGTTTATTTGGCATTTTTCATATTTCAAAACTGTCTGGATGCATAATCTTATCCGGAAAACTGTGCACCAATTAACAGTGGTGGAATTGTTGAAGGAGTAACGTCTATTTTGAAAATAATAAACAAAAAGTTGTCGAGATGCGCGCACAACGGGCTGTCGTCAACGTGTCAACTCGGGGCTAAGCAATTGCAACTGCTTCTACTACTTATGGTCAGTTATTAGAACTCTCTTTATGATGACCAGGTATGAGAGCAGGAGTCTTTATCTTTATCTGCCCGAGGAACTTGCAACCTGGGGAACACAATAACAACAGCGGGCTCCCATATTGTTAGACGCACAGGCGGTGGTGCTGATCTCGTCCAAGATGTGGCCTATGTCCCAGCATTCATCCTTCGGTCTTTTCAGTCCAGTGTATCATGTTCAGCTTCGAGTACTGCTTCTTCGGGATTATATTCGATTTGATCCTCAGCTTCGAATGTTGAATTTGTACGAACACAGACACTCGTGTAGTTTGAGGTCGGGGAGGGAAGTGGTAGTTGTTCCAGTCTGGTGCAGTAGTTCATGTCGTCCTCAGCAAATCCAATTTTGTAGAGAAAGCTTCGGGGGGGGGGGGGGAAGGTAAAGAGATTTATTTGTGCAAAAACTGATCACGATAAATACCTGTACCCTGAACGTTGACCTCGAAGGGAAGTGCTCATCGCTAATGCACTACTTTCTCGTCCACACTTGACCCGACAGGCATGGAACCAGTCAGTTTTAGGAGAGGTTGTTTCACCCCATTCTTCCTGATTGAAAAGAAAAAGCACCGCATCGTAACGCATAAAGTTTGTTCCACTCTGGTAACCAGGACGGAAATTTAGATACTCATACTGCTGTTCCACCGCGACCCGAAGAGAGCGCAGTCTCCGTACGGCCGGTGCAATGTGAGTTGAGTGGAAAGAATTTCAGCAATGAGCAATAAAAACAATAAAAACATTCATCGGAGCGCAGAATCACCGAAAGAAGTTCTCTCGCCATCCAACGCCGTGATGTGCGCAAAAGTATTCGGATCGTTCTCGCTGTGACCTCTACAAAATATGCTGCTATTACTCATCTGAACGAAATCGCAGTTTGATGAAGAATGACACGCTCCTATAGCGAACGTTTAATGTGGTCAATTTTTCGCACACCTTTTTTTGCCAAGGTGTGACTCGAGGAGATAATTTCCGCGATTCAATATTCACTTTCTTACTATTCTTTTAGTTCCAGCGAATTTTTCTGGTGAATCAGCGAAAACGATCGGCGGCAGCATGAGCGGAATTTTTGATTTTGTGAAACGTGGGCAACCAGGCTCAAACTGTATGGGATGTGCAGAACGCAACGCCGGGCGTGAACCGATCATGCCTGGCCAGAATGAAATGCATACACTAGGAAAGTCATAAACTAAAAAATGCTATAACCATACGTAGTCGCATTACAACATAACATAGGACCTACATAATATCCTCATAAAAAACACGCTTCTCGCAGTAGATATTAGAAGGGCAACCGTTTCCCTTCTTGAAGATACAACAAAAACTCACATTTCAACGCGACCCCTCGAGGAGTTCAGGAGATCAGTCCCTTTAGTGGGTAGGATAGATCCGAATTAGCAAATGTGCCAATATTCCGCTCGAAAAAAAGGGGGAGCAGGGCACTAGGGCCTTGCCAGGCCGCCATGACGTTCTTGTGTAACATACTGGGGTTTGTGCTCTCTTTGGTCATCTCAAAGTCTGACATCGACCCATTCGTTGTGTGCTCTTGCCTATCCTTCCTTCCTTCTCTCTGCTGACTGCAGTAGCATAGCCGAAATACGAAAATGAGAAAGCCCATTTCTAGCGCTTTCAGCAACCATTTTCTCTCGTGTAGTGAGTGGTGTTATTCTTCTCAAAATCTCTTCCTTCTCACTACCGTTGCCGCACCTGCGTGTACATCGATTTCTAGGTGAAGCAAAAGTTATCCGCATTATTTCACGCTTTTGTTGCAATAGTCCTTTGATTTTTGGCTGGTATTATCTGAGATTAATGCGGTTCTCTGAACGGCGTGAATCTCCTGTATCTCTTGATGTACAACACTCTGTTCTGCGACTTTCACTATGAAGCTTTATCACACTATAAAAGATTGCCCCTGCGCGTGAGTCTAATTGATCTAGCTGAAACGAACGCTTCTGCCTCGTGCTTGTAAGTCAACGAAGCTATATGAAAGGCACGGAAGGCAAATAGTGACTGTCAGAGCGTTTTGGATAACACATTCTACTGTTAATAAACTTCCACGAGCCTTCCCCTGTAAGTCCAACCTGATCGCGAGTGCACAAGCGTCGTCACATATTGGTCCCCATTCGTCCCTGTCGCGTGCTAAGTGGTCCAGTGGATCCTCCTCGCTCGAGGGACACGAAGTCCTTCATTCCTTTCGTTCAGAGCTTTCGTGAAGAAGTCTGACCATCGGGCCGGCGGTCGTCCAGGTGTTCGTTTGACGTCCCGAGGGATCCAGTCGGTAACCGCTCTGGTCCAACGGTCATCGCAAAATCGCATGACGTGTCCGGCCCACCTTATCTTCGATTCCTTGGCGAAAAACGGCAGCGTCCCTGATCTTCGATCGTTGGCGTAGTTCGGCACTCCGGATTCCCCTCTGCACTTGCGTGTATAGGGTTACTCCTAGCATCGTCCTCTCGACAGCGCGTTGGATAACGCTGACCGCATGCTCGTCCTGCCTGCGCAGAGTCCAAGTCTCTGAGGCGTAGGTTAGGGCAGGAAGGACAGCGGAATCGAAGAGTGTGCACGAGCCGGATGTTCCTCATCGCTTCTTCACATATTTCCTCATGTTCGTTACTCTCCCCGTCAATCCGCCCTTTGCAAAAATTAATCAGGCTGATCAAAAGGTCTGCCTTCTTCTAGACAAGAAAAAGCATGGTAGTCCCTATTTTGCAAGCGTGCGGATAGCGATCAAAAACCCACGGAGCAGCAAAATTCGGCACCCTGGATCCCTCATGATGACTCGAATTTTTAACGGCTCACACAGTTAGAAATTCTCCAAGCCACATTCAAGCGAAATCTGGAATGATTTTCTTCCGTTGTAGTACATGATAAATACGAAGTTGTTTGGGAGCTGCAGCTGCTTTCTTTTCAGGCTGTTGTCTGGTGCTCTCTCATCTGTAGCGCTCTCTCGCCTCATACTCTCCTCTCCGCGCTTAGTCTCTCATTCCCTTAGCACAGCCGATTAGGAAGGTGAGTGAGCCCTTAACCTAAGCGTTTTCGACGGATTCTTTTCCTTTTTTCTTCACTGCCGGCCTTTGCGCACCAATACATTCGTATTCGTGTGCAAGAACCACACCAATTTAACCCAGGGGTATGCCTTACGTCTAAGGGGCAGATGTAAAAAGTTCGTGGAAGTGGAGAGTGGGGAGTGGGCACTCCTTGTTACCTTATTTTAAGAAGATAGAGAAGAGACTAAGCTTTCATCGCTTCTTATCGTGGAACTTTGTTGTGCCAACCCTCTTGTGGACTTTCTAGTTCACCATTTTTGTAATAAACATATCGGTTTTGTACAACATAAAACTTCTGGACACACAAATAACAATGTTGTTCTCGACAAATGCACGTTCCTGCTAAGCTAAGTTTGATTATTTATTTTCCGGAATTAAGATAGAAGTTATGTCCTCTTCTAATCGATTTTTGGAAAGCAGCAGATAAATCTGAAGTCACAGGAGTTTACTCAACAATAACAAGTTCCAGATGAATGTCGAGATCATGACACGAATTGCCGTGACTGGGTGGCAGCATCGGCCAAAAGTTGCACATCTACCGACTACATCATGAGGAGTTGTCGGAAGTCGTGCGGATTGTGCGGGCCACCTGAGAAAAGTAAGTGATGGTTCTTCTCTTTTTCTTTGAACTTGATTTCTTTCCATACTTTATCTTCCGTCCCTTTGTTGCGGTTCTTTTTGTTTTTTTTTGTTGGCAACATTCACAACCTGAAATGTAGCTTCGGTGCCGCAACGTAGGCCTAGCAATAGTATTGCGGGGGGGGGGGGGGGTGCAGAGGAAGCGAAGGCTAATGCTGGAAGCGAGTGGGCAATGACGCGGAGTTCAGCGCCGATTCCCTTTCTCCGCAAAAACTTGACTGGTGAACTGATAACCTCGCGTACGGGAAAGCATTTTTGATGAACTGCATTAGGCGGCTGTGCCGGCTAGTTATGTGGTCATGCCAAAACGAACGTTTGCCGATCGCTCAACTTCCAGCTCCGATCGCTTTCTCATCCCAGGCGGAAATCTCGCACTCATTTTACATTGGCCCACCGCCTGCGGCTATATATGAGTGCAGCCGATGCCCTGTTGGCAAAATTAGGTCTGATCACTTCGCCTTACAAAACTCGCAGACACTCCCAGGGACGGTAGTAAAGTGCCATAGACTGGGAGTTAAAGGTGGTGAACTACGGCCGTAAACGGTGAATAATGAAAGGCGAGACAGCCAGATGACCCCGCTCTGAATGGCGAGCTTCACTACATTCCTAGCAAAAGTCGCGTCGCCATGGACTTGAACCATGTAATGCAGCGCCCATGAGCGCGACGTTTGCCACTGCACCACAAAGCATTGCTGGGTTACTTTGAAAGAATTGCAAGGTAGTAACCTATGAGGGTTGCAAAACATCCAGTATCATGGAGAATTGATCCCGCGAGCGATCCAATGTCAACAAGGAACGAACCCACTGCGCCAATCGACGTGTTTGAAGCGTGGGATCATGGCCTAGATGGTTGTACAGGGTGAAATGCTCCTAGGACCAAGGAAGGAGCTATAACACGATCAATAAGTGGAACACTGCAGGGGACAGCTGATCACCTTATTGGCAAAAGTTATCAATATTATCGATAGCTCCAGTGGCTTTCTTGCTGCCCACACTCAACACCTTCCACGAACCCCTTTCTTCCCTGCGCTCTGCGCATGGCAGGGACGGAGACGCTCAATGCGACCAATGCATGACGTGCAGAGAAAGGGGGAAGTGCATGGGGATTGAAGAGACGCAGATAGACGGCGACTAAAATGTACTCAGGGGTACATTTTAGTCGCCCTCTACATGACCCTCTGCGTCTCTGCAATCTCCATGCACTTTCTCCTTTCTCTGCCAGGTTCGCCGTCTAGGCAAAGTGCCACCAATACATTGGCCACTTAAGATGTTGCCTAGACCTCGCCCATTGCGGCAGGTCAGCGCGAGTTTCCCGCCTTTCCCAATGCTTTTTAGGTGCGGACGAAGGCGACGTCAACGCGACCTATTGGCCAACTATAGACTGGCTGTTTAGGGACTTTACTACCGTCCCAGAGGTCCCCAATCGGTTCTTTTATAAACGTCTAACATGTAGAGCTCTACTCAAATCGACTTGCTGCAAACTAAACGTCTTGTTTTCGATGCTTCATATGCTATAGAGTACCTCATTTTGCAGAAGCCTCCCCCCTCAGAGATGAAAACGTCTAAAATCTGCAAAAAATAGTTTTCCAGAAAATTAAAAAACTCAGAAAAACGGAATTAAAAAATAAACGTTCTTGATTAACTTGTTTTGTTTTGTTTTTAACTGCTGTTTTTTTGGCCGCAGTTCGCCTTGCGAATGTTTCACAAGAATGCTGGGTTGTGAACAAAACTTTCGCCCCAGGCGGGACTAGAACCCGCACCTCTCGCTTTCCGGGCAAGTGCGCTACCAGTTACGCTACCGGGGCACCATTTCATTCCAACTCAGCTTTTCATGGTATACGTACCATAGCTTTCAGCACTCACACGTATAACGTGTTGAGCCGGTTAGCCGATATCGGCAGTGACCGGCAATTCGCATCAAAGGATCCTCTTTTTTCGTTCTTTTACGACTGGATTAGATTTCACTTTTTTTTCATCTGCAAAAATAGATAACTCAACTCAGTTAGTTGAGCTCTACATAGCTGAGTGTTGAAATTTTGAAAAATCTCGTCTTTGAACTCCACTTCCCCTAAAAGCCCCTGCGGATATTCACTAGCGAACAGTGGTGAAATGTGAGCGGAACAAAGCTGGGAGTGCACCGAAGTCGAAATATTGAGATGAGGTAATCAATGGTGAAGTGTTGGCAATTCGCGAGTGCCAATATTCCACGATTGCAACTGTGAATCCGTGAATCACTGGACTAAGGTCTCCCAAACGAGTTTGCTCGGGGCCTAACCGCAGAAAACGAGCCACTTCTGTGACTCAAAACAAATAGAGTGAGAGCTAGGGGCTCGGAATTTGCAACCATCGACACCTCATTCAACGACGGTTGCGAACACCCACCGTCGCGGTAGCTCCACGCTATGCTCCCTGGTCTCTGTCTCGTTCTCTCTTCTTGGCCCACAGTGCCTGGTCCCAAACTTCCTATCGTTCAAAAGACAGGACCTTATTTAAAGCGCTCTCCTCTGTTTTTTTTCTGCGACAAGTCCATTGACTAATGCTTCTAATGCTTCATATTTGAAGCGTGCATTTACTAAGACAGTTGCAGTTGCCCATGTAGCTTCAAACGGGGAATTGAGACACGTGCTCACTAACACCGATTACAATTTCCAGTAGATTTTTCCTATCGAAGTGTTTCAGAATATGATCTGCGAAGACTAGCGCCACAGCTGCAACCTTTGGCGTTCTTGATCGGCAAATGGCGATCAGAGCACGGTGGAAAGGCGATTTTCCCGACAATACCCAAATTCACATATGGCGAAGAAGTGGACATCAGCATTCCTGACGACGCACTTCAAGCGGCAAAAGCTCTCAATTACACGTACGCTTATTCTGTTCGGTTCTTTTACATTTGATGTTTCCTAGTTCAGGGAGTTAGCTTGAGCCTGTCACGACAAGCTTACACATCTAATCTGCAGATCTGATATCTAAATATGAAAATTACATTTAGAATTCATAATGATGCTTTCAGTTTACCAAGTCAATAAAGGAGTGTAGAGTTCCTATTTTATAGTTTCCGAGTTCTGTGCTCCCATTTCGGTTTAATTCTTTAGAATACCGAGAAACTATCAAAGGCAAACCTCGGGACTGGGGGCTCACTAATAAAAAGCGCGCCACGAGTAGGAGCCTAAAAAACTTATGAGATGAACTCGAGCACGAATGCGTGTGCAGCACCCACTGCAGAAGTTTGTAGCATGAGTATCAGCAGTTTTTTCTTGCCCTTCTTTATTCTTTCAAATAAAATCAGGTAAAACGAATATGGTCATTCGAAAAAGCATTTTTCCCCAAAAATTTGCTGCAGTGATTTTTCAAATGAAGTAACACGTACACTTCTCAGAACTCCTTGAAACTCAGGGGTAATCGTCTCTTTGAGCATTTCAAAGATCATCAATTTTTTCATTCCATGAAATCTTTCCGCTATGGTGAAAATGTGGTTTGGGGAAGCCACTCATAATATCTAATCAAAGTGGCAATATCTAATCGAAGTGGAGTTGCGGGGAGGGCGGTCATATCTAATCAACATTCAGAGCACAGGCTCTCTGAGTGCACGATTAGATATGGATACCAACCCGGGATTCCGTACAAAATCGGATACCTGAAAGGCTTGCATGGCAATCTCAAGGGTTGGTGAATGTGAAGAGTCAGCTAGGTGACAGCAGTTTTTGCTGTAGGACAAGGGTAACAACTTGACGAAGTGGTCGTTTGCCGCTTACTCAGTGAAAGATATGATAAGATATGAGTGCCTTCCCGCAACTATACTTTGATTAGATATGAGTGTCTTCCGCTACTCCACTTCGATTAGATAGGGTGCCCCCCCCGAACTACATTTTCACCTCCGTGATCACATAAACAGCTTGGGATCGTTGTGTCCTTCATCTAGAGGAAGCTTTAGCTGCGGACAGTTGATCAAGCTCAGATACGTCACCTTAGAGCTGAGCGAATTCTCTTGCTTGTAAAGGTTAACCGATTCCAATAAAGAACAGTTTGCGAATGAAACCAGTTCGCTGGGATGACAAAGTGCGAGAATGCATGCGTGATGACCGCACCCTTTGAAATTACTTCCGAATGATCCTGCTTTGTTAAAGGCGTGCCCTGTGTCGAACAAGTGTCGTTCTTGCACGAATACGAAGTAGTCGTGCCAAGTAGGCCGGCAGTAAAGAAAAAAGGAAAAGAATCCGTCAAAACGCTTAGGTTGAAGGCTCACTCACCTTCCTAATCGGCTGTGCTAAGGCAATGAGAGACTAAGCGCGGAGAGGAGAGTATGAGGCGAGAGAGCGCAACAGATGAGAGGGCGCCAGACAACAGCCTGAAAACATTGCAGCTGCTGCAGCTTACTTTGCAAGGCCCTAGCATCCTTGTCGGAGTGATTTTCATGCATTAGAGCTCCACATCTAAGACTGTCCTCTCGGGCACTATCCTACAGACCAAAGGATCTTCAACAAGACTTCTGCCAGACTTGTGCACTCAATCGACATGTCGCGCACAGCGAGGCGTGTTGTCCAGGACGAAGTGGCAGACCTTCTTTTGGCAGCTGTACGCTCTTTGGAATTCTACAACTTCTATGTTAGGTTTTTTGTCATCGGGGTTTTGGAAATATAGCCACTTGCTTGAGATGCCTAAGAAATCTGTTTCAATGTCTGAAAAACAGGCAATGATTGGGTAAAGCCTGCCCCTCCCCCCCCCTCGCACTACCCTAAGTTAGAGGCCATGCTCACGATGGCTGGGGGTGGTGCGATTTTGATGGCGCCATTGAACGTCTTCGATAGACTAGACCTCTCAGTGCATTGGGAGTGTGGTTGGGACCGCCTCCTAACGCTCTTACGCCAATGACCTTCAACGACCTCATTGAAACGGGACCTCCCCGATGCCATCGTGATCACTGCCTTCCTTCAATGCTATGGTGAGCTTAAAACTGGTGGAGGTAAACGGATGGACGAAAGGTAGATGTGGGCCTTCGCTTTCCGTTAGGTTTTCGGCTCTGATTGGCAATAGCAGAAAAAAACTATTATTCAATGATGTCGTTTGAAGAAATGTTGTATATGCAGGACCGATTCAAGCTCACATCTAGTTTTTAGGGGCTTTAGACCAACAATTGAATACGTATCATCCGATCAATCTGTTTGTCTCTGTAAGGAGCAGCCATTATAAACTTCCTCAAGAAAATGTCGAATTCTGAACATTTAGCTCTCACGCCTGGTCCGTAGATAAGGTCGCTGTTTGGAACGCAACGACGAGGTTTAATTGAGCAATCAGTACGGCGAAATTTGTGTTCATATCTCTCGTTTCCTTTGCACACTTTCCAACAACCACTGTCGAAGGAAGCGATAGTTTGAATTCAAATTTCCCTTTCTGCAATTTTGGTTTTCAGGGACGGAAAGCGGTTTCATACTTCGTTTTGTTTCTAATTTTGTTCCTCGATATTTTCCATTTTCTGCTTTCCGCGCTGGCCTGTGGAAATCTTACTCCTATTCCCGATTTTCTCCAAACTAATGGCAGGCCAGTTCGGAAGCGGAAACGTCTCTTTATTTTTCTATATTGGCGGTTGTGGAAGAAATTTTTCCCGTCGGTGGTCGTGGTAGAGGCTTCAGTTGAATCAATTTTCATCTTACGTTCAATTCGGTTTCTCCAACTTTTCATCACCTTTTCGTTTGATGAGCATAATTTTAGAGCGTTTGCCTGGTCTATCAATGAAAAAGATGAACTCCATAGTGAATCCGGTTACATCTCTGTGAAACCGAACACCCAGGAAGCAGCTCTCACAACCGTCATGAACAATGGTAGGTTGAAAGAGAAATACAACTATGTAGTAGTAACACTGAGTAATTAGCGCATTTGTACAAAAGAATTAAGTGGGGAAATTAGTGCATCTAGATGCGCATGCAAGTCAACCCAAACATTCCCCAGTTCTATTCATTTCTCAAGTTGGGTGGGTCATGGCTGTAGAATTCAGACTTTTTGTAGAGCACCATTAGTGGAATTATGGTATCTGAGCGTCCTTCGATTTACGAGCCGAATAGGTATTGAGACTTACATTCCCGGCAGTTTCTCAAAGGAAGCGATTACGATAGAGGGAGCGCAACGTAGAAGTATGTGCCACACGAAGCAGTTACTTCGCGCCAAGGCAGCGAGTTGTGGCGCTTCTACGACGAAAGGTGCGCTGGTGATGGTATGTGTGTACCGGAAAAGCGTTGCAGTATTACTCGTCCATACACAGGCCGCCTTGATGGCTGCCCGTACAACAGCCACAAGGGGCTCTTTTTGCGGTTTCTCAACAGATTTCTCTTCCTGCTTTTTTGCCATTGGCGTGCACCCCCACACCACCTATGAACCTCTCTGAATTGGTAATTACTGCCTCTAAAATAGATGGCAAACAGAACAAGGGGTGTTTGGCTTTCTCATCTTAAGTTAAAGGAATCTTCCACGGAAAAAGCTCCTCATTACCACAGAAAACGATACCTTAAAGGAATCTTCCACGGAAAGAGTGATCATTTTGTCTTGTGTGTAGGATTAGTATTATCGAAACTAACGCTTATGTTCCGTTCTTTTTGCTATGCTCATGAGGCTAGGGGCCTAAGGGGTATCGTTTTTCTGTGGTAATGGAGGCGGAGCTTTTTCCGCGGAAGATTCCTTTAAGTGGGCTGAAATTCATTTTCTATCAAACAGCGAGTCATATTTGTGTGCCTTCACGAGGAACCCCGCCTTTGGTTTAGATATTTGAACATCTTCGCATGTACGGTTAGTAGGAAGTAGCTGTCTTGTTGAAAGAGTTCTTCTGAAGGCAGCGATCTCGATGAGTTTTGAACGAGATCAGAAGGAGTGTGGGGATCTTAAATGGGCGCCGGCTGCAAAAAAGCAGAGAAATTCGACAATAATGCGGGGTTGGGATTCCTGGACCGGTGTCGCTGCTGGCAAGACAGCTAATCCACACTATCTTATCCCTTTTGTGAATTCAAACGAAGTGAGCGCTTCCTACCACGTATGATATAATAAGGAAAGTCCCCCACACTCTATTTTCATCCGTTTAATTTGTTAAAAACTTAGGTTTTTTTTACAGATTTCATACCGATGGTACGATTAAGCACTAATCATATGAGATTAAGGGTTCGTGACGGTCGAAGAAGGTCCAATCAAAGGATCACAAATCAAATTTCGGTTAAAGGACGTTGGACGAATCAGCTTCAGTCGTGATCTGCCAGTTCATGATGTGAGTAGTACACTTTTCCGTTTTGCACTCTGTGTCTTTCCAATCCCTTTGCTCAAGTGCTCGCAATGGGAATTTTGAGACTCCAAAGCGTCGTCGACTTGATTGATGGGCGTAATGCAAATTGAGTCACCTACTCTACTACCCGCTGAGAGAACTCAATGCGCATTGACGGAGCACGCTAAAGCAGCTCTGCACACAGAAATATCAGAGAATTTGCTTCTGTCTTTCACACAAAGTAGGGAGATGAGGAGTACTGTTTAGAAATATGTTGTATGGGAACTACGACTACACGAAGAGTTTCCCTCTGAAAAATAATTTTCACATGCGAATCAGACCTTCAGGATATCCCCTTGAAACCTTGCCCCCTCCCCTCATGTATCCCCACTTTTTTAGAAGGATTTCACCGCTACCCATTCTCATAGTTTATGCAACGTTCGATTCTTAAAACGCGAACAAACGTCACTGACTCAAGGAAGACATGTGGTCACCTAAGCACAGAGGGACCAAAGAGACGTAAGCAAACCAGCCCTTTTGGCACATCGGCTGGGACCGTATGCTGAATGTTGGGGAGGGGATGGGGTCCCCAACGGTCGACGGTTTACTTCAACTCGGTTGGTACGATAGGAGAGTACTGACGCAAGTGGTGCAGCTGGTCCAGTAGCTTCGCCAGAAGGACCGGTCTGCTCACCCTTGGACTAAGCCTAGGAGAGGGGACGGACCCGTCCTCTCTTTAAGGCTTAGTTCTAAGGTAAGCGCCAAATTGTGGCGGTTCTAAGGACCGCGTTGAAGTTGTCCGTCCACCGTCGGGGACACCATCCCCTCCCCAACATTCAGCATACGGTCCCAGCCGATGTGCCAAAAGGGCTGGTTTGCTTACGTCGACAAAATGAGCACAGTATAGCTCACGATACCCTCACAGGAACACATCAGTCTTTGTTGGGATTGGTTCGGAGTACCCTTTCATGCCGAAGAAGGATTCCACGATAAAATCGGAAGTCGAAGAACAATATCTAGTCGAAAGGCAGGCGCTGCCTAAAGGTGTGGGACGATGCGCGTTTCCAGCGAAGAGGGTGCCCCATGCGGCCTAGCTGGGCTATACCCGCGCTGCTCGTGCCGCTGCCCCTCCTCCCTCCCCCTCACTTCTTCCCGTCTGATTCCAGCCATTCAACAGAGAGAGCGTTAGCGTTGAAGAAGATGGCACTGATGAGAATCGCATCAATGCGGAAATTAAGGGGCAGATATTTTGTCATTTTTTCTGGATCTGGACCGTTTCTCATGGTTTTCTAGATATTGCGCTACTGACCACTTTTATCCTGATGTGGTTTGCTGCCTTTTCATCATAAATAATGCCTTCAGATGAAGCCTTCCCGTAGCCATTTTCTGCGCAAGAAAAGTTGGAATAAACTAAGTTGGAATTTAGGATAAATGAAATGACCTATGAATGTAACGAAACTCAAACCTCCTCATGAGGAGTTTCGTTACTTTATTTCTCAGCAAGGACAGGCTGGAAAAGGTTGATGTAGAAGTTATGAAACACTTTCACGATCGCCTGCGGTTCGGAACAAGTCTCCATAGGAACGCAACTAAAACGTCCTGGGCTTACCTAGAAGCGGGAAAGATTGTCTTGAGCCGTTAATTCGTTTCAAAGCTCTAACTTCTGACAAAAATTTCTGGTCATGCAAAATCTCCAAAAATTCGCAAGAGGCTCAGGTGTCTGGCCTATTTTAAAATGCTATCGATATCGAGCGTTTTACAAACCTTCTCGGCTCTGCGGAGTCGGACTTGTTTGCATTTTCGAGCTGCCCTATTTACTTACTTACTCCACTGTTGTTAGCGCTTTTACTTACTGTTAGGAATTTGTTCTGATTGCAATTTACGGTATTATTAAGCAGCATAACCGTGCCCAATTTCAGCTCATCAGGGAATGGACGTTGTTGGACAAGAACACGTTGCAAGCTCGATTGAATATGGAGACATTGACGCACGGCATGCAAGAACACACGTTTATTCGATACCACAAAATTGCTCCTTAGATCTGATTCATCGATTTATTGACTGAATGACTGATTCGAAAATTATAATAATGATAAAAATCTATCCACAATTTCCCCCAGTAATAGTCATGGCAATTATTCAGATCGATCAGAAGAGTTTGAAAAGGAGCGCATACTCGGTGGCTTTGCTTTTGGAGGCTTTTTATGTATTCACTATCCATTTTTACGCAGAAGTTCCGCTTCAAAGAAGGTCGCAGGCTGAAAACAGGAGTCTTGCCGACAAGGAATGTATGGCTGTAGATTTAAGTATGAGATGGAGAAAAAAGTCTTGATCGAAATTTTCACTATGTTTCAGATTTTGTTAGAGTGAGGGTCCCAGAGCCTCACTTCGGGACTATAAACTCGCGTCTAGGGTTTTGGGGAAACGTGGAGGTACTCAATAGTACGCCAATGGCGAAAAAAGCAGAGAAAGAAATAAGCAAAATAGTACCCCTTTGATTGCCCTTTCATTTTCGACCATGGATGAGCGACGGTAAAGAAAGACGTTGTTCGGACGTGTTAACCCCGATAGCCGCCATCATGCCAACAAGCATAGTGTTTTGATTGATAAGGCATTACATGGGCAAGTTGGAAGATACAGCCGCTAAAAGGGAAATGATCTTCCAAAATGAAAAGCCAAACAGCTCGCCCAAGTCATCAACTGAACTAGTGGGCGTAACGCTTTTGGGCGGAGTGCTTCGGAAGTCCTGCTCAGCAACCAGTTCTACACTTTGCTCCCTTGGCAGCCAAGTGACTGCTTCGTGTGGCGCAGATACTCCTTCGATGCGGCCCATCCTATCGTAGTCGCTTCCTTAAAGGCATGCCCCAGGATCACATTGGTGTGGCTCTTGCACACGAATGCGAATGTATTGGTGCGAAATGGGCCGGCAGTAAAGAAAAAAGGAAAAGAATCCGTCGAAAACGCTTAGGTTAAGGGCTCACTCACCTTCCTAATCGGCTGTGCTAAGGGAATGAGAGACTAAGCGCGGAGAGGAGAGTATGAGGCGAGAGAGCGCTACAGATGAGAGAGCGCCAGACAACAGCCTGATAAGAGAAAAAAATCTGCAGCTTCAGCAGCTTACTTTGCAAGGCTCTTGTCGGTTGGTTTCCGTGCACGGGAACGCCACATTTGTGATTGTCCTCTAGGGGTCTATACTACAGACCGAAGGAAGCGTTCACACGACCTCTGCCTGGGTTGTGCCTTTAAAGGCAAAGTTCGGGCTCAGACCCACCTAAGAAGCCCTTACCATGGCTAGAAGTGCTGGGTACGCAAGTGCAAAGGTAGCGCCACCTTTCGAAACGCGTCACTAGGACCCTAGGCGCCATGGACTTCTAACAGACTCCACCAAACTTAACATGGTCCGCCCACCGTTCGATATCTTGTCTGCGTCGCCACGTTGATCTGCTATGCTCTCTCTTCTCGGACTTCTCTACCACTCTCCGCGCTCACATTATCTCTCATCTCCCTGCCTGTCTTTTGAACTTCTCCACAGCATAGAGCAAAATGCTCGTATTTCCTGTGTATTTCAGGATTTTCTTTTTTTTTTTTCTCTACTGGCAG